GTTCCATCATGGGAAGTCAAGTTACCAAAAAGGTTTCAGGTAGAAAACACTGTGGTGATTCTCTGTGGGTGGCTACAGCATTTTTAGTCACAGGCATTGAGGCATAACAACTAATTCAGCAACTGCTGAGGTTAACTAATCTTTGGAACAGTTTTTCTAACAATTTTATAATACTGATATTGCTCAGTATCCCTGTAATAATGTGTTCTTGATAAGTGATTTTTTTTTTCTATATTGTTAGATCAGTCTGTGTAGTCTCTTCCTGTAATCTCATTAATGATTTGGTACAATTTTACCTTTTTCTAAAGTTCTAATTCATTATGTAATTTTTGTAGGTTAATAGAGTGGATGTTAATGGTAATTAGTTGCTTTCCAAAAGAAATTTGTGGAGCCTGTACAGAGTACAGGTGATAGAAAAGTTTTTTACTGTGATTATGTCCTTTATAACCATTCTGTGATTCTAGAACTGTACCCCTTGCCCTAACAAAGCTTGTACCTGTTAATTTAGCAACTCTATTGCTATCTAAAATGTATTATAATGTCATAACCTCTGTCATGGTTCCCAAATGACATCATTGTGTATCTCATCAAACTTACGTTGTATACATTTAGAGGGGAAAAAAAAGTAAGTAGAAGGAGACGCTTGTTCTGTTTTCTCAAGATTCTAGCCCTATTTTTGTGAAGATGATGTCAAATACACAATGATACACTATCTTGGCCAAATGACTTCCATCCTGAGATGATTTTTTTTTTTTTAATGCCTCAAATAACTGGAACTAGATCTCACATAAAGCATGCCTTAGAAAGGCCTGGCATTAGCTTTTTCAGCAAAAGCTCTACTTCGGTTTTACACCTTCTAAGCATTTTCCCCCCTTTTTGGACTCATGAAGCCATTCTGTAGCTGATGTCCATTTGCTCTTTGAGCAGGATGTTCCCCACATGGCAGAATGGGGAGAGGCAGCAGGGAGGAAAGTAAACACTTGGGAGTAACCTTTCTAATCACAGAAAATGTTTGCCTCATGTTGGTTCCATCAGTCTTCTCCTTTTTTTCCTATGCAAAAAGTGTGTGTGTTTTGTACAGTATGTTTGTCTCTGTATGCAAACATTTTGCACAGAGCTTTTATAAATGGTGAGACTCAGAGCTAGCAAATCTGTGAAGAGGTGATAGTTATGTTGTGATGCAGGAGCACAGATGTAGTCAAGTGCCAGCTGTACAAGGCATCTGTTACTTCTCTCTCTACACTGCAACAGTCAAATAGAAGATGATACAAGAGCCTGACTGTATTTGTATATTTATTAATGCCAACATTTTGAAGTAATTGTGTATTTTGAATTAGTGAAAATTGAATTTGTGACCGTTAAAGGAGTTGTTGATATCTCTGCATAAAGGAGGTATTTTAACAATTGGGACACACAACACAAATTTCTCAATATTGTGTGGGAGTAATTTGCAATAATTTTATTTGTGACAGACTTAATATTAGTATCAAACTGCAGTTTTTACACGTTTCTGTCTTAATCTTTTTCTTTCACATAGTCATCAGGGGTACTGAAATATCATTGGTCCCTTCTCATCAATGAGACCTGTGTGAACCTTCAGCTTATCAGAAGAAAAGCTTCTTAGCTAGAAGTCTCCTCTCCCTAGGGGTAGGCCACCAACTAGTATATTTCAGGCATGTTTACTAGCAATGTCTATAGGATCCTCTGATGAAGTGAACGTTCATTACTTATTCCTGAAACAGCAAGGTGCAGTAAGTTTAGTTTCATACAATTCTAAGGTTTCAAGAACTTCTGATTATCAGGAGGTACTTTTGCAAGTTTCTGGGGCTCTGTCTTGCCATCTGTGGTGGTTTTGGTGATATTCTGTGGTAGTTTGGGTACTTCTGCTTTTGTAGCTGAAATTTAAATATATTGATTACTTTAAATGTTGTTTTCATTCTCATAGGTGGTGTCCTTTTGAATATTTAATATTTGCTTGCATATTTGTTTGATAGTTTAGTGAAGAAAATTGTTAAGAACAAAGCATTATGCCTAAGTAAATTTTTCTACAGGGACTCCAGGGTGATGATCAATAATGATGCATTGTCTTAGAGAACATAGTAATTTTATGTGTATTTAAATGGGGCATCTTATTTAGTGTAAATCTTCCTGCTATGTGGAAGAATGAAAACATGTTCATCTTCTGCTTTTGGTCATGGCAGGTTTGGGTTCAAATTCTTCTTAAATCATTAGCTACAAGGAGTTGAGCTGTCTTGCTCTAAAAGCTGTGTGCAGGACTCAGTCTAGATTTTTAACTCTAAGAATGTGAAGGGAACACTGTAGCTGAGTCTGGCTTCCTCTGCAAGGTGGGCCATAGAAATCCCTGTTTCAAGAAGATTGGGAATTAGGAGTAGTTCAGTGGAGGCTCTGAAGGGTCAGAAAAAGCTGTTTTGTGTTGCAGCTCTGTGGTGGGAAGCCAGTTCTGGCTTTTGCAGCCCTGTTGCACATCTTTTATTGCTTAATTCATGTGCTTCCACTTCCTTTCTTGCTTCCATGCCTGTTGGGCCTGTCACTGAGCCATTTTGCTGAATTTACCTAGGGGAGAATTCCCTCTAGAGGAGAAAGAAAGGACAAAGTGTTATTTTTCTATTGATTTAATATGCTAAAATGGGTCAATATAGAATCCATTGCCTATCAGAGGCCGGAAAAGGAAAGTACACAGAACCATGAGCTTGAGCTTTTGACATGTCTGAAATGGAGGAGGGCAGGACAGCTCTTATTACTGCTTGTGAGGAGTGGAGGCTAATCATGGTACTCTTATTTTTCTTTAAGTGCTATGAAAGAGAAATGAATCTTTAGATCTCTGTCTGTGATCATCGTTCTCCTGTTCTAGAAAAAATGATCTCACTGCTGGCTGCAGAGATGTAAAAGAGAGTAAAGAAGGACCATTCAAAAGGCTCATATTTTTATAAATAATGTCTTTGGAAAAGAAAAGCAGTCCTGCAGTGGTGAAGAATCCCTCTCCTGCATGGGACTCTGATGAATGATTAAAATACTCAGGTTTTTTCTCCCAACAAGTTAAAAACATGTCACTGAGCTGTTACTGAGGCCTGATCAAAAAAGCGCTTGACATGATGGATCTTTGCATTGTATCATTCCTCATTTAGATGCACAGCTTTTGGAGTAGAATTTGCAAAATATAAATTGCAATAACTTAATGTGTCTCATGAAGTTGAGTGCTCAGTAGCAAGTGAGTTTCATAATCTGCATGTTTGAAATTTTTTTGGTATTATTTTCTGATCATGGGTTGCAGTGTACCATGGAATTAAAAGAAGGATAACATTTGGAAAGAGGACTTTTGAGTTGGAGCAAGATAGGTCAGAACTACTCTGTAATTCTAGTCTATACTGCTGCTTGATTATTGGCACTTGAACTCAAGTTACTGGTTTTTAGCTGGTGTGATTTAAAAAAGTATTGTTAGAATGATCTTACCATGATCAGCCAAAAGAAAGGTATGACAGAATAGTAATTATTCACTTAAGTGACAGAATTATTACCCATAATTTTCTTGGTGTAATATGTTAGTTGTAGTCATGTAGTTTGCTATATGTTAAGTCAAAATGGAACTGTGCAACATATGTAAATAGTAATCTGTATCAATTATGCTAATACAATTTTAGCTTTGTCAGCTCCTGTGAATTGTGTTTTGAAACAAGAATGTGTGTACCCTTTTATCAAAATAATACTTTCTTCTAGGTAATAGATGTACTTAAATGAGCAAAAGTTTGTACCTAGACCTTGCTGTCACTTTCTGCATTTTCTAGCAGCAGTGAGCTTCAAATGTAAAGTAACTAGCTTTGAGTCTCACTCATTTAAGTGTTTTTGAAGGGCCTTTGAAGTGCTTAAAAGTAATAAATAGCACCCTCTAGTTATTATCCTAGGTATGTGCCTAGAAAAATGTGTATTTTGGGAACAATTTCAGGAGGCAACATGTCATAATTTATTCTTGCTATTATTTCTTTGACAGTTGTCTTTCTGTGCATATGTTATTTCTCTCTGCATACTTACTGTATGTAGCATTTTATTATCTTGAGGCATTTGAGGTAAAAGCAGTTGGCATTTGTACTCCAGTTGTTCAGAAAATTCTCGAGCAGCTTGATCAGATCCAAAAGACAAGCAAGTGTTGTGTCAAGAATTGTGTTAAAGTCTGTAAAATAAAACAGATATGGGCAAGGGGAAACACCCTCCTTTACCAATACTTAGTATGTGTTTGTACAGCTGGCGATTTGTGCTGCTTCATATTCGTTGACCTAAAAGTAGCCAACATTTTAATGTGTTCTTGGAGGGGAAAAAAGGTGTTATGGAAAAGAACTGCCACATCAAAGCCTCTCCTTAGCTTGTAAAATGGTTTCCACCACTACCTTCCTCAGCACTATCGGAACACTCGGCACTTTCTCCCTCTCAAAAGAAAGCAAGCCTTTTTATTAAGAAATGGCCTTAGAGTTTTGTTTATATTAAAATGATAAAAGTGACACAAAGCAGTTGAAAAGATCTATATAGTTCAAACAAAAGTCCACCAGAGATCTAATCTAAGTTCTGTGGATTGTCTCCCTATCAAATCAAGTCAAATAATTCAGCTGTCACAAGGAGTAGAGTTCTTACTCTCTTTAGGGAAGAATATTTTTTTAAATAACTGGAGTGTACTCTAAAGCTTCACTTCTATCAAATGGCTTGTATTTTGCTGGTCAGATCTGATGTTCTGAAGTCTTAGTGGTGACAAAGGAAACTAAACGCTTGATGATTAATTGTTGTTGATCATTGTGGATATTGTAATTCAGTTTTCATCCCACCTTCCTTTAATGGAGTAGGCTTATATGGACCATTTTGTTCTCCAGTGATCTGCTCACATTGCTGGATTTTTTCAGTGAATGTGATAAATAATATAGGGAGGCTGAAATAATTGAAAAATAATTTTACAGTAAATCCTTCTTTCCACTAAAATGGTTTAACATTTATTTTAGCACAAGCCCACCTTACTGCTGCGTGGACCTTTATTCTTTGCGAACAGGAGAGATGGTCAAGTCCATACAGTTCAAAACTCCAATTTATGATCTGCATTGCAATAAAAGGTAAGGATGTTTACTACGTGTTCTTTCTGCTTTAGAGCATATAAAATTTTGGTAATTAATACCATTTTTGGTCTGTGCACTCCTGGACTTTATTGTTTTGGCTTTCCTGTAAGCATAGCTTTGGTTCTCCATTTCTCTAGTAATATTTCAGTTTGAGTACAACAATATGCTTTTCAGTGGCTTTCATTCAAGAAGCTCAAAACATTTTACATCTGAAATTATTTAACCTGCTTTCAGTTGTGATGAGGAATCGTTGCAATCCTCTATCGTCTACCTACAGATGGAGAAATGGATCATTGAGAGTTTAAGTAGTATAGACCACTGAAGAGTTTACAGCCTTGTGTTCCACTTGTGTCTCACATACACTGTCTTCCTGCACATCCAAGAAATTCCTAGTGTTCACTCCGTGGTTTACAGCAAATAATGTTGCTGTGAGTTAAATAAAAAAGCAGCATCTCTTAGGTGGGATAATGTCCCCTCATTTCTGCGAGAAAAAAAGGCTTAGAAGGCTGAACATCATATAAAAAAAACCCATCCTAGAAGCCACAAAGGTTTTGTTGAATAGACATTTTGAAGAAGGGAGATTTAGGTTAAGACACTAGGAGGAAATATGTCATTGTGAGGGTGGTGAGACACTGGAACAGGTTGCCCAGGGAAGTTGTGGAAGCCTCATCCCTGGAAGTGTTCAAGGGCAGGTTGGATGGGGCTTGGAGCAACCTGGTCTGGTGGGAGGTGTCCTTGCCCATTCAGGGGGGTTGGATCTAGATGATCTTTAAGGTCCCTTCCAACCCATTCTGTGATGCTATGATTCTACCATCAAAATCTAAACTTTGTGACTATGTGAGGTCAAGTACAGAAGAAAAGTAGTACTAGTGAACAGACACCTCTAATATGACAATGAGTCCGATCATGAGGAGGATATTTAGACGGTGTAAATGTTTAAACAAGCAAAGGATGCCAATATTTTTAAATTTTTTAATTCCTGTCAATCTTCTTAATTATGGATGTGAGTATGATTATTACATCAAAAACCAGTTTCACTGAAGTGGTTGAGTTGGTGAGAGTTATGTGCCGTGAATAAGTCACTGTTCCTTTAAAAGCTGTCAGAAGGAGTTCAGTACTTATCTGTGCAACTGTCCCTTGAAAAATTTAAAAGTTCCCTTGTGTACAGTGTGATGATAGTAAATCTTTCCAGTCAGGCCTCCTGGCAGAAGAAAAATCCAATTGTAAAAACAGTCAAAAGGCAAATCATCATTCAAAATCTCTCCCAACTAAGAAGTCTTTCCAGGTGCTAATGTTTCTTTTCCTAAGTGGTGAAAATGGAAAAGCTACTTCAAAGCTATGTGGCTGTATCCAGGGTGGCTGCTTTTCTGGAATGTATCACATTCTGTTATTATCCAAGGAAAGCTCACTATTTCAGATTGAAAACGCATTAAATGTGGCCAAGTGCAATGCTAATGGTGCATTACCCATACTACAGGCTAATGGGGTCCCAAATTTGGACTTCAAGTAAAATTTGAGTTGCAGAAAAAAGGGGAAAACTGTTTATTATTTATGGATTTATACTCCAGATTCATCTGGTAGGTTTCAGTTATACAGAAAGACAGTATACATCTTCAAAGAACAGAAAACAAAAATCTACATGATTGGGAAATATTGCCAACAAATATGCATAGGTTTTATGTATATACTTTGCACTTGCATGTGCATTCAAAGTTTTTCCATTGTTCATTGGTTTCCTTTCTTTTAGGCCTTGCAGAAGAAATGAGAAAAGATACATTTTCTTTTGTTTTTCTTTTGTGCAGTTTAAACAATTGGAAGATACGTTGTGTAACTAAAACTACTGTTTTGTCCAAAACTAATATTAATTTATACATGCAAAGTTTATAACTGAAAAAACGTGAGATTTGTTTTGGTTTTGGGAAGTTATCAATGTGGGAGAAGATGTTGAAAGCTAAAATGTTTGGCTTTCCAACTCTGGCCTCTTTCTTGTCAGAACAGTGTTTCATGTGTAGTTATTACGTGGCTTTTGTTCTGGTGCTTTGTTTCAAGCAATGAACAGGTATTTTACAATACCAGTGTGTACATGTCCAAGTGAATACATAAACATATACCTGTGATTTTGCTGATTGACACAAATCCTGCTTCTCAACCCTATTTTGGTGCTGATAACTCCTGGTATGAAAAACCCCTTGCTTTTCATAAATAAGATGGTTTAATAAATTTGCAATGGGATTATTTCAAATTTAGCCTCTGTTCTACTGATGGTTGATTTGCTTGTTATTTGAGTCATTGAAGGCAATTCAGGATCCTTGCAATTCCAGTCTTTCTTTTTAATGGAGTTTTTACTGCAGGAGGTATATCATAAATATGCTGTGTTGTTCTCTATCAGATCTGTGTACTTCCTGAAACGAAGGTTATGTGGTTGGGATGAGAAAGAACCCTCCATAACTGCCATGTATTGGTAACCTGGCAGTATATCACTGTAGAACTCATATTGATGCTTTTGAAATAATTACATTTAGATATTGAATCTTTAAACCAAAGCATTTAATGTTGAAAATGCCCATTCTTTTCTTATGTTTTCAGGATACTTGTTGTTGTCCTGCAAGAGAAAATCGCCGCCTTTGACAGCTGTACTTTCACAAAAAAATTCTTTGTTACAAGTATGTATAATAGTTGGGTTCAGTCTTTTTGCTCTAGTGGTGGAGTGAGATAGAACAGATATGATTTGTTTTTATTTCTGAATCTTCAAAGCAGCTCTCTGTGACTTCATTTAGAGTTTCAGGAAATTTGTTGCTTCAAAAAAAAACAATCCAGGTGTTAATCTGTCAAACCTTGGTCCTTTTGCATATTTATTGTGCTGTGAGTAGTATCTCACTGTTGTGAAGAACACCTGCACTGACATCCAGAGGTAGCTGAAAAATTGTGTTAATTTTGCAAAAATATGTGCAAAAGTTTCAGATTTTGAGTATCAGGGTGTACACATGTGCAGCAGTTTGGGAACATATCAATAGTGATCTGCCCATTTTTCATGTTTTGTTGTTCATTATCTTGTTTTTGTTTTCATGTGTCCTCACTTTAGCAAGCCCCAAAGTTCGGACAGGTTAGTGAAGTGTTGTAGTAGGAAAACTATAGGCAGGTATTTGCCTGCAGGTGCCTCTATGTATATCTTGAGCATGAAGGAACTGTTTGCTTGGACTCCCCTTTATCTCCCTCTACCCTACGACCTACCTCTCAATAGGAGGCAAATGATTGGAACAGAGAAGGTGGTCTCCAAAAGCTCCAAATGTCCCTTTGCTGCTCCAACACCTGTAGCACAGTAATTGGTACATTAGTAGAGAAAATTGGTATTTTTTTCTTACTGCTCGTGCTCTGCTCTGTCACTGGATGTGGTTATGTTTTCAGTGTCATTTACCTACTCCCAAGACGCTGTGTCTTGTCCATGTAATGCTGACTTCTGCGACAGTATTTACTCCAGAAGAAATAAAAACCTTATCTTTCCAAGCAGCTAGTGACTAATGCTGTTGTTTATCAATTACAGTCATCCCTTAAAATCGATAGGTAACTGAGCTAACGTAGTTTACTTTGGAAGGATCAGAGTTTTGTTGTTAAAAGGACAATCTGAAATTTCCTGTGTGTGTTTTTGGTCACAGTTGGAAAAGTTCTAAATTACCTTGTTATGTTAACTGTGTCTCTAAAGAAAAATCTTGTTTAGGAAAAGCTATTCTTATAATAGTTTAAAGAAAAGCAGCTTTATGCAGTAATATTAAAGTTGCCAATAGGTGTCAGTTTCTTCCTATACATAGCTGAAAGGCACTGGGAATCTACTGGGGTTTCTTGGGAAGCCAAACAGGAAAGGACTTGTGTCCTCTGTCCTCACTCCTTTTTATTCCACCAAAGAGAATTTTAGCATACTTTATTTTAGATAAAAATTTAAAACCCCCAATTAAGTGCATATTTTGACAATTCTTGTGCTTTTCAAATTCCAGTTATTGTTTGTTGGTTTTTTAAAATTTTTTAAATGATACTGCCATTAGTTTTTAAACATTAATCCACTGTATTTTGAGGCACAGGAACAGACTCTTCCTAACCATAACTTCAGATTTGCAGTGCATTTGTGTGGTATGGGGATGGAGTTTAGACGATAAAATAAAGCCTTTGTAGATACTTACCAAGTTATTTGAAAATTGAAACTCGTGAAATGTCACTATTCACAATTTCTCCACCTGTGAGAAGTATGAGAAACTGAAGATGGTCTCAAACTTTGTTCTGGCTCTGGGGCTCCAAAACTCAGTTAAAGGCACCTCTTCATTTTGTACTGGGCATTTTGGAAAGCTTTGGGACCCAGCAAACAGCTGGAGCTGTGGCCACCACAGCCCTTCTCCTATTGCCACCTTGGTTTACCTGTGGCCAGTGACAGGGTGGGACTGGGCAAAAAGAAACGTGCTTTTATCCTGCATGAGTTGGTTTCTTGGATCTGCTCTAGTGAATAGTTGTCCTGAGGATTTTGAAGCTTCATTGTTTCACTTAATGGCTTGTGCTATCAAGCTGGTTTTGTGCTCTGGCATGTTGAAGGCTGCAGTAGGGCCTTTCTGTAAGCTTTCAGATTTTCTATACACTGAAATCTTTTCAACCTCGGTATATCTTTAAAGGCTTAAGCTACTTTGTGTTTGAAATTTGATGTAAATGAGTTACCTAGTCAGCTGCATAGATTTATGATTGTGAGCCAACTGGTCAGCAACTGGGCTCTTCTGCTGCACTACTTGATTATTTTTTTGAATTTAGGAAAGGACACTGTCAGTTTAAATTGGAGTAGATTTTCCGCTGTCTTATCTGACTGCTTTTGGTCAGAAGCAGTGGCATAAAAGGTCAAAAATATTTCATGGGGCTTACTAGATTTTTGAAGACACTGCTGTTACTTATGTTACTTTCAAGAAGATTTGGTGATGTGTAAATCAAATCTTCCATCCGTATCAGCTGAGTGGCACTGGGAGCCTTAGAACCTCACTGAGACAGCTAAAAAGCAATGATTATTACCACATTATAATAATAAAAAGCAGAAGTCCTTATCTGTTTTGTTGACTATTTACATGTAGAAATGAAATGCAGAATGTACAATTAAAAACAGTGTCAGGAATTGTGGAGTTTGGTGTTGCTCAGCAATGCTAATGCAGCTGCGTTGCACATGAGTAGTGTTTGGCTTTCTGTTTTTGTTTTTGTGGTTGAACGTGTAGCTTAATATATTGTTGTAATAAATATACCATAAAATATTCAGGATGTAGAACATGGTCAAGTTTGTGCTGCTGTTGGAATGTTTAAGCCTTTTATTTCTTGATTTTTCTTGGGCAATTTTGACATAATACTCCTAGTACTAATCTTTTTTCCCCTGCATGTGATTAGATGGACACGTGCTGATTTGACTTGAATGGCAGAGAGCCAGTCCATTTTATTTGTGCCTTTTGTAACAAAAACTCAGTGTACAGGTGCTTAGTATGTGAATTTATGGCACGTCCTTAAACTTGAAGGAGAAACTTAATGTAGAAAAATTACCAGGATATCCTGTAACCACTCTGTGTGGTAATCTTACTTTTAAATGTATGCTGAGGAAAAGCATCAGCCTGCAAAGAACTTGTGGCAGTAACTTCAGTACAGCAGTCTGTTCTCTGCTGTGCTGATGGTTGGAGACAACTCCTTAAGAAAGGACTTCTATCAAGGGGAAGATAAAGCCAAGCAGTCCTTTCACATCCTGCACCGGTTTAAGTGCTCACAAGGCCAAGCAAAAAAACCCCACAACACAACTAATTTAATGCTTAGAATAATAGCATGTTTCCTTTGATACTTGTGAATGCCAAGGTGTGGATTTTTAATAGGTTTTTTTAATAGTTAAGAGTTTTATTGTGGTGTACTTAAGATTTCCTTCAGAGCCTTTTTCTGAACACTACATATGACTGAACAATCAGAAACAAAAGTGATGTACAGGCTTCCCCCTCCTCCCCCCTTTTGCTCTAAACAATAGATGCAGAAAAGCTGAATTTCATTGATTTCTAGTACATCAGTGCTCTCTCAACCCTTCTCCAAAAATGCTTACTTAGTGGAACACTGATGATTATGAATATGGCCTGATGGATACTTTCTTCTCTGTAAAGAATATCCTTCCCACCCCCAGGGCCCTAAGTAAAGATTATCACAGATAACATCATGCATGGCATCATCTTTGTGTCCGATAACTAGTGCCTGTTCAGTTTCTCTGGCCCTTCTACTCCTCATATTGATATATTCTCCATCCATTATTCTCTAGGGATGAAGACAGTTATTGCAGCCATTAGCTGGCACCACATTTCTATTGATGCTGTACAGCTAGAGCCTTGAGAGGTAATTTTCCAGATTTTAGTCAGAGTACTTTATTGTATACAAAGTCTCAAAAGACTTGCCTAACCACAAGCCAAAAATTATCCAGTGTATGTTAAATGCACCCCACCTGCACCTCCCAAAATAAATAAAAGCAAAGCAAACTGTGGTATATACTAATCTATCTGCAGTTTCCACTGATATTCACATGCAAGAAATAATATAGGGGGTTCAGTTTGCCACAGGTTTGATCTAGAAATCATCTGGGCTTTTTTGTCTTGTTTTTGTTAGCTTTGTTAGAATTCCTTTTCCCTGCTCAGCAAACAGGAAGGGAGCAGTTGGATCTCTGTGCTTTGAACTGAAAGCACTGGATGTCTTACTAGATGGTTTAATGCCTCAAGAGTTAGGTTCTTCAGGCAGTTCTGTTTGTACCTTTTCCTTTGCAGCTTCAATCAGTGAGTGGCATTTATCCTGGGTATCCCACATGGTGTAATAATTGATAGGATCCTCCCTGTGTGGAGGGAGACTCTTCAGTTTAGATTGAAAGTCCTTAAGGCAGGTGGGAATTGAGATCTTGTGTCACGTTTTCTTGATCACTGAAGAGAAGCCAACTATATTGCTGTGAATTGTATACAAGCAGTTTTTATGCACACTTGTGTACATATATATACACACACACACACTCCTTCGTGTGATTTGTAGCTGTGTTTGCTGAGCAACATTTCTTTTATCTTGCTTTGTAGTGTTGTAGTGTAGTCAATCTTGCTTGTAGTGTTGTTTATAAGAGGGCTTTTTCCTGAATGTGGGAATTGGCCTATCACTAGTACAGGATAATGGGGAAATAGTTTTTCAAAAAGTCTTTAGGGCAACGTGGTGGATTTATGGAAACAAATGTCTTTGGTGCTTACAGGGTGTTGGGCTGCATGGCAGGGAAGTGCAAATACAACAGAAGAATTGCAGAAAGACAGAAGCAAGGCATTGGTACCCAAGATGTATATCTGTCATATCTCCTGGGTTTGACAGCTTTAAAAATTATATGTAGAACAGGAAGTGCTGTTTGTTTCTGTGTGAGTTATTTTTATCTAAAGCACCCAAATCCTTAATGTTAAAGGCCAAAGCAAAGCCACCTTACTCGCATTGTCCTATACAGGAACAACAACCTCTATAGTAACATTATTATTTATCACTGTCCAATTCCCTGAACAAAAAAAATAAGTAAAACAGAGATTAAAATATAGTTTGTCCTGAAATTAGTCAAATTTGTGCTCAATTAGATAACCAAATCTAATAAGCATTAAAGAGCATAGATATTTTT